ACACACGCTGAGACCACATTCCTAAGGGCTTAGGTATTAAGCCCCAGGAAAATCAAGGTCTGGGCCGCTCTCCTGATGTTCAGAAACCTCTTTTAAAAATCTACTCCTTGAACCAAGCTAATTCCCTTGGTATCACCTGCGCCCGGTTAACTTTCTTCGACCCGCGTGCCTACACTGAGTACTATTCTTTCACCTTGAAATGGACTCTTCTCCCTGCCAAGCCGTTTTTCTCACCTTTGCAATTTTAACTCCCTAGTTTTGTGACTGCCTCCACCACACTGTCCCCTCCTCCCCACCGGACTCCTTTCCCACCCCACACGCTCCACCTGCTCTCTCACTGCTTGTCTACGATGTGCTCTAGCATTCTGCGGGCCTTCCCCTCTCGGATTAGAATTTAGGCAAGGAAGGAAGTCTTGTATTTCCTTTGCATTTCTTGTGGCATCTCAAATAGGGTTTTCACATTAGAGACACCCAGGTTAGATATACTGACTGGCCTAGTAGTTTTATAGCTGGAGTTGGAAGATCCGTAAATGACCCAGCATCACCCCCCGACACCGAGCAAAAATCGCACCCCTCATTCAGATGTTCCTGGCATCCTATACTTGCCCAAAGCCAGATTTATTGCTCCTGCTCTAAAGTGTATCTTCTCTAAGCCTCACTTAAAAGCTACCACTTGGCAGAAGATCAGGTTGGAAGTGCAGGATAGCAGGTGACGGCGAGGGTAGGAGGGGGTGGGGAGCGCGGGGTGGAGCAAATCACTGAGGCTCCGAGAACAACCAGCTCAATATTTAACCTAACTAGTAATTTGCTGTGACAATTATGCCACGATCGGAACACTACTATATGCAAGAATGTCGCTCCCTAATTAAGAGGGCTCTGCTTTTCCTAGCCGCCCGCACTTTAATAACACACACAAAATGAGACTTGGCTCCGGGAGCTAAAGGCTCTATTAGGAGGCATGCAGAGCAGGCGTGAGTGCCGCGCCCGGGTGAGCTGCTAACACCTTCAGCTCGCCCTGCCCTCCGGCGGGAAGGGAAGGGAAGGGAAGGGGCCGAGCAGGCCCCACGACACGAAGCCCGCCCGACTGACAGGCTTCCTCCCTGAACACCCGCTTCCCCGCAGCCCTGCTCCTGGACAGGGGGGTTCGGCGTGGGCTTGATCCTTAAAGAGTAACTTTAATCAGGGTTTTCATAAAAATAAAAGTCCATGGAAAGTAATTTTCCTCTTAAAGATGGAGAAGAAGGCAGGCACAGGCGCGCGCACACACACACACACCCCACCCTACCTGCTGGCTGAAAGACAAGAGAGTATTATTAAAATCATAGCTATAAAGAAGGCTGTTGCCATCTTCTAAATTGACTGCTAGATTCATGTAACGTGGCTAAGCAAGACAAACCGTTTTCTGCTTAATTAGTGGCTCCTTTATGGAAGGTTTGCTGCCTGGAGAGAACCCATTAGAGGAGGAGAGCTCATTTAGAGATGCACCTTCTAAAGCTACTGGAATTTTAAATAAATGGTGGGGAAGGAAATGGTGGAGGTGGGAGCAGGGGTGCTATGGAGGCAGAAAAGCTTCTACAAAGACAAGCTCTGCATTCCAAGCTGAGTGCTGGGGAGATCGGCTTTCCTAGGCAAACACAGAAGCCTCTAAAATTTTAGGCCAACAGAAATGACCTCTGTGCCATGGCTGACTGAAGATATAAATAAACTTCAACACGAACAGCCTTGTCAACTGTGAGAGAGATGAGAGTCCAGTTGGGGCTTATTTTTTGAAAGTCCAGGTTGTTCTGTTTCAGGGGACAGCATTCATGAGCACAAAGCGGCTGCTCCCTGCAGGGGGCCCCCCACTTTACTGGGTACCAGACCCTCGGTTACCTAACCATGGAGAGGAAGCTGCACCACACACGTTAAATATAGGCTGAGTTGTCTGCATTTTACAAGCACCAGGAATGTTATCTGAGGAAGCTGTCATTTTTAATGACAGCACAAACTTCCAATTACCACCTGGGTAATACTCTAGGGAGCAGGGATGATTTCATAAGAATGGCTCACAATTATTAAAAGTTTACATGGTTTCTTTTGAATTAGATATAAATATTTCTCCTGAGGCATGTGGGATTTTTTTTTAAGGGGTCTATATTCAAAGCTGGAAAAAAAAATTGTTTCCTTCAAAATCCCGTATTTCAAGATTTAGCAACAGCTAAGAAGCAGGGGATGCAAGGTGACAGCCATTAAGAAGCCGGAGAAGCTGGAAGGTTGTAAATGGCCAGGTGTTTAGTTTAAAGTCTCAAGTACACCCACAAGTTCAACAGCAAGTCACAGTCCAAGAGTCAGGAGCCTGGCAATAGAGAATACAAGTAAGGAACCCACATAAGGAAATCAGTTTCCTTTGGTGCCGTCTACCTAACTCGCACGGCATCTACACAGCTTCATTCGTCAGTGGTAAATGCAGAATGTATATTATCAGGTGTTGCACACATCCTTCCATACAGCAGACAGCCCTTGACCTAAATGAAGGCTACAATTTATATGTGTCTCAAATCACCCAATTCTTCGTGAAATCTCTCCTGATGACTCTAGTCTCCAGTGATCTCCATTTATTGAATTTTAATTTGACTTATAATATTGCTACTTAGCTCCAAGCCTTGCTCCAAATAGACCACAGATCTTGGGGACAAGGATTCTTGATTTAAAATCACCTAGAAAGAGGGTAGAACAGGCGGTCAATGAAGACAAGTGCTACATACGTTTCTCAACGACTTAACAAAAAACCACCATCACAAATGTAATTAAAAGACTTAATAATCATTAACTAATAGATTTAGAGTAAAGAATCAGGTTGATTTCTAAAGCAAGTCAATATGTTTTCAAGAGGCCATTTCTGCCACACCAGCAGACAACTGGAGGGGTTGGGCCTTTTCCCATAGGCACAACCCCATCCTGTGGTAGGTGGGATGAGCCATGGTGGCTCCAAAGCGTTCTTTTCCCCTCTCCTCCCTACATTAGCCTATCTGCTTTTGCTCCAGAGGATTCTAGGGCCTGCTCAAATTACCTGCCAGCCCCTGATGGTATACAGGGTTACAGGAGTTATCACTAGACTAGGCAAAGGAAAAGCAACCAGAGAACCTAAGAGAACAAAAGGAGGCATACATTTTCGCAGCCCCACAAAGGATAAATGCTTGGGCCCATCAAAAGCTGAGCTTAGGGTAACAATCAGAGAGTATAAGCATCCAGCAAAAGTGAACTGGCTCAATAAATTTACACATCCATATAGCCAAGTACCAATCAAAATCGTGCTCTTTTTATTGAAATAGAAATGTTCATGCTAGGGTAAAAGTATGCATAGTATTCATACCATTGTAATTAACCTAGTTATGTATTAATAACAGGAAAGGAGCAACAGGAAGGCCAAATATTATAGGCATGTCATTTGGGCAGCTTTGCCAGGAAGCTGCAGCTTTACACTTCCCAGGGACTCACTGGTCTATGCCCCACAGATCACTGGGGGAAGGGACTGGACAGGGGGGAGAGAGACACATGCCCAGTAAAGTTGGGGTAACATAGGGAAGGTGCTTTCTCTCAGTCACACCTGGGAATCAGTCATTGGCCAAAGTAAGCGTGGCCACTGCAAGCACGGGAAGATTTGAGATATTTAATCCCCTAAACAAAGGATTTAGCTCTCCTGGTTTCCCTTGGCTGCCCTTGGGACTCTTGTTGCAGGGGCACACTCTCTTGGCTCCCCTGCATTTGCCCGCATTGCCCACAGCCATGTGGATCCCACACACAATGGACTAATGGACTGCAACTAGCCTGATGCTGAACTGGACCCGGCTGTGACGTGGAGTGGAAACTCTGGACACTGGCTTTGCTTCTAGCTCTACTGAATCCCCGGCTACCCTTCTTCCAGGACTGGGCTAAGGGAAATTGGGACTTTGGAAACCCAGGAATGTAATTCCACACAATTAAAATCACTCATCCTGCCCAGCCGGGCGTGGCTCAGCGGTTGAGCATCGACCTAGGATCCAGGCGATTGGGGTTCGATTCCCAGTTGGGGCATATGCCCGGGTTGTGGGCTCGATCAATGACTCTCATCATTGATGTTTCTATCTCTCTCTCTCCTTTCCTCTCTCTGAAATCAATAAAGATATATTGAAAAAAATTAAAATAAATAAAATAAAATCACTCATCCTCCCATGCAAGTCTTGGAAAATTCTTTTTCTCGAGATATTGTAAGGACTCCACCCCCAGCACACAATGGGGAAAGGGATACCCCAAATCCCCCGATAGCAGTATAATCCCATTTTTTAATTAAAACTATACTTACACACAACTATGCATAGAAAAAAAGCAGCCAGCTACACAAGTGATTCTTGCTGACTGGTGGGATTATGGGGAATTTTGTTATCTGCTGGTGATTTTTCTGCAAGAACACGAATTGCTTAAGAAATAATGATCCAAATGGCCCCATTCCTTTCCTTTTTACTTTCTTTAACAGACATTAACAATACTTAACATCAGCTTAATAATAAAATATACTCACTCAGTAAAAGTGTTTATAAAAGCCAGAACTCTACCGACAGAGTGGATGATAAATCTAAGAGCTAACCAACCACATAAAAAGGTGGCAGTGGGGTGGGGGTGGGGGGAGAAATCCTCTCTTTGAGATAAGGAAACAATTAATTTACTAGGTGAGTAGTGGCCTTCTAACAAGTGGAAAGAAGGAAAGAAGACAGAACAACCTGTTTTGTTTTCTATAAATAAAACCTTGGAAGGCATATCGCCAAAGAAACACAAGTCAATATAAACCTTTATATACTGGGCTGCCAAACTTCACTTTTAGACAGTATATTAATTATGTAGTCAATAACCATGGGTTTCATTAGTGTATTAAATACCACGATCAATATTATTTATCCTTTTTGAAGACAGGCCACTCAGGGAAAAAAAGAAGCAGGGGAGGGGAAATTTTTGACCCTGCAGTTCAAAAAAGTCAGAATAGCACACAAGAGATTAGCAAGGCTTTAATGGAAAGCATAAAACACTAAAAATATGGACAGAAATCAGATTATTACTTTTTTTTTTTTCTTGCCTCCTTCACAATGAGACTGGAGGGAATCCAAGAACCATTTAAAATAAAGGCAAAATGATTAGATTTTTTCCCCCTAATTGCTTAACGCTGATGTCATGGTGTACGCAAAATAAACATCGATCTCTAAGTGAAAGATGAGAAACAGAACAGCATGAACAGCTTTTGAGTAAACTATATACAAGACAATTCTAAGGACTGTGGGCCAGAATCTATTTAGGCAATCCTCAGGGACCCAAATCTCTTAAAAGCATAACAGTGTAGCCAATTTCTGATGCTCCTCTACTGGTGATCCGATTTTTAGCAGGGAAATCTGCTAAACACCCTCCCTAGAGGGAGCTGCCCTCCCACAGAACCACCCGGTGGATTTCTAATCACACCCATGTAGATATGCAGATTTCATCACATGGTCACCAAGAACACTCGGTGACTGGTACACTCGAAACACGTCATGGTAACACTGCCAGTAGACAGGCATGTGGGAGGAAGAGGGACTTTTGCTGGGAGCGGTAGATACAGAAGGCTGGTTACTAGACTGAGAGCTAGATTATCACTTCCACCCCACAATTTGCCAATCCAGAAGAGTGTTGAAGACTTACTTTTCTAGCAACTGCTTTATAAGCAAGGTCAGACAGAAAAACTGAGGCCTTGGCCAGAGAACCAGGTACAACCCAGTGACCATCTTCTGAGACTCAAATGTGCCTAAACAATCAGCAGGCCTGAGAAAAAGACCCTCTGTGTCTGTTCTGAGCCGTGGGAGCCATCCTGCTTGGAGCCGCTGGTTCCTCCTGAGAGGACAGCTAAGGATGAAACTGACAGGCTATCATCACAAAAGCTCCACAAAGGGCCTCCACAGGCCACACTTGCCCAAATCAAAAACCAGGTCCTCCCGCTTTAGGCCGACTGCAGCGCTGCCTGGGTGCTCGGAGAGGGATGTGCACCGAACGCCAAGCGGTGGGTTGCAGCAACCGGATAGATCATTAATATGATTAGGAACACACAGAGCAAGCATGCTCTTGCTGACTGAAAAGCCCAGTACCGTAATTACTGTTTTCTTACCAGCTCACTGTCTGTACACATTTCAAAGCCTGGTTGGTGTTAGACTGCTGTGTAAACATCAATAAAATCCCAAAGTGCCTTATCATCAGCATTCTTGGGCACAATGGCTTTGTTTTTAGTGTTTTCATTCTTTTAAAGATGCATTTCAGGGTTGCAAGCATTAGGAAGAATGATCTCCGTGCCTTGGACTAATTTTCGAGTTTGAAATGAGTTAACATCTCCCCCAAGTGAACATTTATTACAAAGGCTAATTAATTGCTTTCCAGTTACAAGAACTCCCTGCATTCTGAGAAAGCAGGATTCAGAAGCAAAGAACAGGCTGTTTTTTAAAACAAAGCAAGGGGAAAAAGGGCTTCTCCCTTCAAAACCCCACCTATTTAACACAGCTTTAATCAAGAAGTGAAACACAAATGCAGGAAATATGTACAGGTAGAAAAAGTGTGTGTGCGTCCATTGAAATGCAACATTAGTTGAAGTGAAAACTAAAGCAAAGCTTTGTAGTTGCCTGGATGTCCCTAGGGGACGGCAAGTCAATGCTTATCAGCCTTCCTCAGAAGAGACAATTTTGATTAATATCAGACCCATCAGACTTGGTCTATTAAACCCTGAAGGAAGGATATTCTTCAGATATAAGAGATTGGTCTTTGATTAATAATTCTACCCTGTTGCCATTCCGGGCATTAACAACTATGTGGCACCTCTAGAAAGAGGGCGCCTTTGGATTCTAGGAAGACGTGCTTACTAAACACCCAGGTTCCACACAGTTACTCCCCGCTCTCCCTCCCGAGGAGCCCAGGCTGGGAAGGTGTCACCACTGGAGAAGCAGAACCTCTAGTTATAAAATTTATTTCACTGCCTGCAGATTTAGGGTCAATTACTCATGACATAATTCCTGCTTGAAGATAATGAAGTCTCAATAAAACAGACAAAAGCCTGAAGAGAGAGGGAGCGACTGGCACCACACTACCCGCCGGCCGACCCCGTAGGCCTGACAGCTTACACCACAGCCATCTGAGCGTGTTTTCCTTTGCCCACCAATGGGTTTCGAGACACACATAAGAGAGGAAATTGCTTAGTCCACCATAAAGAGGCTCTAGGCACTGTAGCTAGTGTGAAATTGTCGCACAGGGGGTGAGAAGACATCAATTTCATTTCGGCTCTTTATTTCCAAACTTCTGCCCAATCAGGGCTGCCCCGCTCACACTGCTGCATTCCTCCTGATGTTCATGATCATCCTTCTGCTGTATTCTCTGTAGTCCACGGGCTTCACATCCATCACTGTGGCCTTAATTCGAGACTCATCCTTTGAGAAGAGAAAAGCAGTTTATGAACGAAGGGAAGCCCGTGGCACGGCACAGTGGCGATAACCCCTCTCCTGCAATGGTTTCAATGATCCCAGCAGGAGAAAACACAAACTCAGGCTGGACTCAGAGGTCAGTCATTCCAATAAAGGAAAAAATCTTGAGAGCCGAGTCCAGAATTTCTGGGGCTGGAGAGAAGCCTCCCTTCAGCACAGGCCCTTTCATCCATCCTTCCCTCATGCTCCCAACACTCAGAAACCCAGAATCCAACGGGATAGACTTTAGAGGGCTTGGCTTGTCGCTTCAATTTATTCTCTTTGTAGAGGGGGAAATAAGAACCCAGAGAAGACAAGTAAGTTGCCTAAAGCCACAGCTAGTTCTGCAAGCTGAGTGTGGCGAGCAAGAAAGCGCCTGCGGCAGAGGACGACGATCTGGTTTGGGGCCCATCTCAGCTCTGGGAGAGGCAGCCTCCCTGCACCTCACCTTCCCCATCCTTACCAGGAAGGGACTGAATGACCCTCCAAATCCCTCCTGAACCCCACTTCACTCAGACACTGGATCAAAGACACTTTGACGTCCTATCTCATGTAATGCCCATAAAAACAAGCGCATCTATCACAGGAATGGAGACGGTGGTCTAACAATACACCAGAACAAGTTAACCCTAAAACAAGTGAGATGTTCTCAGAATTCTCCTCGCTCACTCAACCATTAGGACTGAACGGTGCCTTTTAGAGGCAGAATGGGGGGATGCCCAGAAAGGCAGCAGAGTCTAGCCCCAGGGCTCACACACTTTAGTGTGCTCAGTAATTACTCAACACAGTCCTATTTCTAAGCGTGATCAAGAGCAAAGCTCTGAACTTGGACTGCCTGGCTTGGAATCTTAGCTCTGCCACTCGTTAGCATATGACTTTAGGCAAGTTACTTATCCTCTGTAGGTGACATTTTTCATTGGTAAAATGGAGATGACAATAGTTCCTACACATAGGGTTAGTGTCAGGATCTAGTGAGGTAATTTGTGGAAAGTAAAGGGTGCAGAACAGAATCTAGTAGATGGTAAGTGCTCAGTAAGTGCTGTTTTACTTTGACTATACAGCTATATGATGTTGTGGGCAATTTAAGGAATTTTCAATGTAATTTTAACTACATGTGGTCTTTGTTTCATAGACTGACTTAGTGCCCAAACCTTGTAGCAGATGAGAGCCACTAGACATAGTATCACTCTCTGTCAGTACACACAAAAAAACCCCGGTTATAACGGAAAAGATCATATAGCATTTTCCCCCCTGGATGCCTGACACGGGACAGGATATTTAACCTCTAAGTCCATTTCCTCGTCTTAAAACGGGAATAATGGTACCTGAGGTTGGGAAGATCAATGAGTAACACATGCAGGGTACTCAGCTTGGGACTGGCACACAGCAAGAATGAACTGATAGCTGGTACTGCAATGCTGTGGGTGGGTGGGTGGCACACAGCAGTTTCCCATGCAAACCCTTCTGCAGCCCATGACCTTACTTACATTGTAGGTCTCCAGTTTGACCCTGATCTTGAATACGAAAGATCGAAAGTTGGCATTCTGGAAAATTTCCTCAAATGCCTGCTCATTCTGCAAAAAGAAATACAAAACTCTAGGCTTGGACACTACTGAACCACTTGATAATATCTATCAGAGTTTTAAAGAGACTTTGAGAAAAATCTCAGAAAAGTATCATTCTAGTGGTTTGAAATTACTCAGGAACGACTAATCTACAGGTAACAGTTCATTACATAAATCTGTTTAAGTAGAATTTTATTTAAAGTTAAAAATACTCTATATCTAGAGTATTGAAATTCATAGAGAGAAAACAGAATGGCGGTTGACAGAGGTCAGGGCGGGAGAACTAGAGTGGGAAAGAGGAGTTTGTGTTTAATGGGTACAGAGTTTGGGGAGACGAAAAAGTTCTGGAGCTAGATGGTGGTGATGGTTGTACAACCATGTGAATGTACTAAATAAGTTGTACAACTTAAAAATGGTTAAAATGATAAATTTTATGTCATGTATATTAACCACAATAAAAAAATGTAAACACTTCTAGGAAACACATTCCTAAACTTCAAAAGTTTGTGATGGAATACATCTGAGGCCCAACATCTTCCTAATAAATTAAGAATTATGGAAAAAAAAAAAAAAATTCAGAAAGAGGCTCAAGTTGTCATATATATACTATTTCAGCCTCTGTATCTACAGCTACTGGTTTGATGAGCAGATGAAGACAGCTAACGTGGGCAAGGTTGGGGAAAATTTTTTATGCAGTCCTTTCCCTCTTTCTCTCACCCTTCAAATAATATTTGATTAAGTTTGTAAAAAAAAAAAAAAAAAAAAAAGTCTGGTTAACAGCGGGATTAAAGAAAGCATTTTTTTCTTTTCTTTTTAATTTTGTTAATCCTCACCAAAGGATATTTTTTCCATTGCTTTTCAGAGAAAGTGAAAGGGAGAGAGGGAGGTGGGGGGGGAACATCAATGTGAGAGAGACACATGGCCTGGTTGCCTCCCGCATGCGCCCCGACCGGGGCTGGGAGTGAACCTACAACCCAGGTACCTGCCCTTGGCCAGGAATCAAACCCTTGACCCTTTGATGCGTGAACCAACGCTCTAACCACTGAGACATACTGGCTAGGGCTAGAGAAAGCATTTTATATAAATATACATAGGATCAATTTACAATAACTTTATATAAAATTAATAGTTCATATCAGCTAAGTGTTACCTTTGCAAGCCATGTGGAACAGGAAAAGGGCTTTGTTACAAAAAGCTGTGTAAAGGTTACTTCACACACACAAAACAAGTCCTCTGGGTTTTCAGGTATGTAAATAAAGCAATGTATTAAGCCTTCAGAAAGTTACACCAGTTGCCACTATTCTTCCCAGCGTGTATCAGGGAAAGCATGGCGCACGTGCTCCAAGAGCACCATGGCTCCCGAGGGAAGGGCTTCTCCACGTCCTCACTCACCAGCAGTAAAAAGTCAAATGCAATAAGCTCATAAAAACCCTGGAAGGCTGCCTCGAGCCTTACAATCCGATATGAAAATAGAGGACCAGGCAAAGCATATAAAAGAGACCATCATACTTTAAAGTCAATTCCAGTTATTTCTATAAAAGGGCTTGTTGGGATTATTTCCAGAGATCTCATAGACAACATTTGAAAAAGGTGGGGGCAGAGGGACAGAACTGAAGACAGAAAAGAGTAAGAAAAACACACCCAAACAAATGTCAAATCCCTTTATCTTATGCTTTTACAAGTATTCTAACTGATTTGAAAAAAATCAATAGATGCCAATTTGGCCCAAAAATACAGGTTTTACTGGTCTTCTTTACATGTTTTGAGCAAATATCTTTCCTAAGTTTAGCATAATTAATCTTTTCTCTGCATTAAATAAACCTAAAGTGTAAAAATTCAGATTTATAAAAATGAAATGGATAAAGTTAATTTATGGAAGAAAGTTACTTCATAAAAATTGCATCTGATGACCTAAAACAGCAAGCACCTTATCTGTAACTTTAAACCAGCATTTTACTCAACCTTCCAGGAAGGTGTTTGTTCTGTTGAAAAGGCACACTTGTATTTCAGGTTATTGCAGAAGATACCTTCCAGCCCAGCCAGCGTGGCTCAGTGGTTGAGCGTTGACCTATGAACCAGGAGGTCATGGTTCAATTCCCAGTCAGGGCACATGCTCGGGTTTTGGGCTAAATCCCCAGGGGGAGGGGGTGCAGGAGGCAGCCGATCAATGACTCTCTCATCATTGATGTTTCTATCTCTCTCTCCCTTCTCTCTGAACAGATATTAGAAAAAAGAAGAAAAAAAAAAAGAAGATACCTTCCATATCTCAAGTGACCACAGGCACACCAACTCTGGTGCTGACAGTAACAGGAGAAATAGTGCTGCTTTTAAGGCACGTTTGTCTATATTATTTCATTACCCCATTGTTAGCAAATCCAAGATGGACAAAAACAGACAAAATCAGAAGAGCACCTCAAATAATCATCAGACTGAAAAACTATATACAACACCCAAAAGAAACAAATCCCCAAAATATTAAAGAGCCATGTTACAGCACAAGAACTATTACGGTAATAATAAAAGATGTGGCTGACCTTCTCTTTTAACTCTCCAAGATAAGCAGTGCTTTGTCCGAGGATAGCCTCTGCAGACTCCTGGAAACAAGTGACCCACTGGTTCTCTTGATAATCGGCAATATTTACCTAAAAAAATACAACTGTGTATTATTTCAGCAAAGAAATAATAAAAGGAAGAGACATTCAGGAGATGGGAGATTTCATTAAAATAATCACCAGGGGGGAAAATAATTACCACCATGTGAAAAGTATCAAAGAAAGAGTTTAAGATGTAAGTCTGGCCCTGGCTGGTGTGGCTCAGTTGGTTGGGCATCGTCCATGCACTGAAAGGTAACCGGTTCGATTCCCAGTCAGGGCACATGCCCAGGTTGCGGGTTCAGTTTGGGTGTGTTCAGGAGGCAACTGATCGATGTTTCTCTCTCTCCTTTTCCCCCCTCTCTAAAATCAATAAACCATATTTTTAAAAAATACATAAATAAAATGTCTCAGTCACAGCAGAAATACACTATGCTGTGGATGTGTGGATTAAAGCTCTCAATACAAATACAGCCCAACTAAACTCTCCTTCAGACGCAGAATCCAGACACACTGGACTCAGTTCCCCTCCAGCTGCGATGGCCTTTAGACTAAAGGTTTGAACAAGCCTCCAATGAGTCAGGGCAGGTTCACCGCATTTTAAATTGTATGTCCTTCAGTCACTAGGAGACAGCTCTCAGTCACTGCTGTGCATCCCAGACAATTTAAAAGCTTGAGCTAAGGAGCTCTGGTCAGCCCCCAAATTTTTAGCAACAGAAACGAGACATCAAGTATCTCCGGTTGGACCATGGTGTAAAATTAAATAGAGGAGTCAAGGAAGAAAGTAGATCACAAAGAATCCAACTGCTAAAAGGGAAAAGTAAAAGGCTTAGGTACAAATAAGAGGGCCCTGGCCAGGTAGCACAGTTGGTTAGACAGTGGCCCCAATACCCCAAGCTTGTAGGTTTGATCTCAGGTCAGGGCACAGATAAGAAGCAACTAATGAATGCATACGTGGAACAGCAAATTGATGTTGCTTCCTCTCCCCCCTTCATCTTTCTCTTTAAAAGCAATAAATTAAAATTTTTTAAAAATAGAGCAAAGGTGGTTTTTTAAAGGTATCATTTTGGTGCTTTTATATATTCACTTTGCATATACATGGGGTTTAATGTACAAAGTTATGATGAAAAATAAGGAAACGAGAAGTTAAAACAGAAATATAAGGGCATATTGCATACTGGGGTGCACACCTACAGTTCCCCCCATGCTATAATCCTGGAGGCAAAGGCGCCCACTTTCCAGGACGGAAACATCAACAATAGATACTTGGGTGAGTGTCACATGAAACCAACGTGCCAGAGAGTTCACTTAGAAGAAACTTCTAACAGAAAGGCTAATGAAATAAACTATCTGAAACAATTTTGTTCATTTTAGTTCAATGAAGTGTACAGTTTACAGAATATAAGAAGCTTAAATATATAAATTTCTTGTTGAATTAACATTTTAAGGGGCAATTAGATTGTAGAAAGGGTAGGTGGGATCCCTTTNTTTTAAATTGTATGTCCTTCAGTCACTAGGAGACAGCTCTCAGTCACTGCTGTGCATCCCAGACAATTTAAAAGCTTGAGCTAAGGAGCTCTGGTCAGCCCCCAAATTTTTAGCAACAGAAACGAGACATCAAGTATCTCCGGTTGGACCATGGTGTAAAATTAAATAGAGGAGTCAAGGAAGAAAGTAGATCACAAAGAATCCAACTGCTAAAAGGGAAAAGTAAAAGGCTTAGGTACAAATAAGAGGGCCCTGGCCAGGTAGCACAGTTGGTTAGACAGTGGCCCCAATACCCCAAGCTTGTAGGTTTGATCTCAGGTCAGGGCACAGATAAGAAGCAACTAATGAATGCATACGTGGAACAGCAAATTGATGTTGCTTCCTCTCCCCCCTTCATCTTTCTCTTTAAAAGCAATAAATTAAAATTTTTTAAAAATAGAGCAAAGGTGGTTTTTTAAAGGTATCATTTTGGTGCTTTTATATATTCACTTTGCATATACATGGGGTTTAATGTACAAAGTTATGATGAAAAATAAGGAAACGAGAAGTTAAAACAGAAATATAAGGGCATATTGCATACTGGGGTGCACACCTACAGTTCCCCCCATGCTATAATCCTGGAGGCAAAGGCGCCCACTTTCCAGGACGGAAACATCAACAATAGATACTTGGGTGAGTGTCACATGAAACCAACGTGCCAGAGAGTTCACTTAGAAGAAACTTCTAACAGAAAGGCTAATGAAATAAACTATCTGAAACAATTTTGTTCATTTTAGTTCAATGAAGTGTACAGTTTACAGAATATAAGAAGCTTAAATATATAAATTTCTTGTTGAATTAACATTTTAAGGGGCAATTAGATTGTAGAAAGGGTAGGTGGGATCCCTTTAAAAAAATAATAAATAAATAAATAATAAATATATATATATACATATATACATATATATACATACATATATACATATATATACATACATATATACATATATATACATATATATACATATATATACATATATACATATATACATATATACATATACATATACATATATATATATATATATATATATATATATATGGGTGTTTTTTTTCTGATTTTTTTTTTTTAAAGAGAGAGGAAGAGAGAGGAAGGGAGAGGGGGAAGGAGAGAGAAACATCAATCAATCGGTTGCCTCCCATACACACCCAGACTGGGGATCAAACCCACAACCTAGGTATGTGCCTAGACCGGGAATCAAACTGGCAACCGTTCAGTGCATGGGACAACACTCAACCAACTGAGCGACACCAGATGCAGCTGGAATGCCTTACTTTTTATCAAAAAAGATTTTTAAAAAAATTTTCCTATTATAAAAGTATTCACTGCAGGGAAGGAAAAAAAAAGGAAAATGCAAAAGAAATTTTGAAAAATCAGTCAGAAATAACCATAACCAACAGTCTGGTATTCAGTCCCCTAGTTGGTTTTCTGTCTGTATACATACCTTAAGACTATAAAACATAACACTTAAAATTTGCTATTTTCAATTAATAAAGCCTGAACATTTATTTATGTCACTTAATAGTCTTCATTAACATTGCTTTTAAAATATTTTAACTGTGGAAACTATTGAACAACAATTCTAATGTCTTCATGGTATTCCACTCTATAGGTATTCAATAAAGGAATTAACCAGGAGACTATTAAGGACATTTAAGTTATATCCAAGTATTCAAAATAAATAGCAGGGTAATAGACAACTTTATAGAGATGTAACATCTCTGATTATTTCTTTAGAAGAAATTCCCTCCTGGTATTTACTGTGTCAGAAAGAATAAATATTTTTAAGGCTTCCGGTATATTACTGCCAAGTCAACTTCTAGAAAAATATGAGTGTGCCCTTTTTTTTGGTACCTTTATCATCATTTAGTATAACTTCTCAGAAAACATCCACCCTTCATTTTAAAAGTTTTAAAAACCTTTAAAGAAATAATTCTTACAATGCAAAAAAGCCACAACCCCACATCAGCATGCAGTGACATTCCTCTGAAGTCAGCTCTACCGAGGCGAGAGGAACAGATTATCCATGAGGAAAATAACTAAATATAGGCATCAGCTGCATACGTATAATTACTGCTCTCCAGAAACGCCAGTGCAAATTAATTTATCTTCATAACAGTTAATAGGCAAGTGCCACCAATGCTGTAATTGCATGACATGCACAGTGACTGAAATCAGCTGGAGAGCTAAATGCAACTTTCTGGGAGGAAAAAAATGCTTTTAGTGGGAGCGGACTGACTGCTATTCAGTCGCAAGGCCCCGCACTTTTGTATTTATGGAAAAATAATAGGCTCTTCAGCACTTACTCATCTGCAGGATTCCTACCAAGAGTGATCTTGTTTTTGCTGTTTCTACAGCACCTGGCACTCAGCAGAGACTCGAACACCACAGTGGTCCGCACCCACCCATTCTACTCACCGACAGGATCATGCGGTACTTGAAATTGGGAAATTCACGGTCACACTTCTCACAGCGGTATAATCCATTCTGTTGGTCAATCACTTTCTTATTGCAGTCCTGAGTTGGGCAGGCCTGATACATAGAGTTCTCCTTGCGAAGATACACCACTGTTGCCACAGAGCTAAAATAGTCTGCCTTTAGGAGAAAAGAGTGACACAGGACACTGAGCCAACAGGCCTACACTCAGGCCCTTACACAGAAATGTTTCTGATACATGATTACAGGGAGTAAGTCATTGTGTAGCTTTAGAAATCACTTGTGCTAACCAAGAAACCTAATAAAACTTAACCATAAAAAGGTAATAAACCAAGTTCGAAAGCATATAATTCCTTAACAGTAAAAGAGTTATAAAGACTTCGAGAGACAAAGACTTGTTCCTCTGACCCTCTGAAGGTAACAGGCTAGGAAATACAGAGTAAGGCAATAGAAGCTAATGAATCCATGGTCAATCATCCTTCCATATGAAAAACAATAGCAGTGCTACTAGGGCTTAGATTAACCTTTACCTTTGTCTAGGTTAGGGGTCAGCATACCTTTTCTATAAAAAGCCATGTAGTAAATATTTCAGGCTTTACAAGCCATTTGGTCATAGTCTCTGCTGGAGTCACTCAACTCTGCTGTTGTGGGCAAAGCATCCACAGACAATACGTAAATCAAAACACATGGCTGTGTTCCAAAGAAACGTTATTTGCAGCAGGCAGCAGCAGGCTGGACTTGGCCTGTGGGCTGGTTTGTCAAGCCCTGGTATAAGTCATCAAATTCAGCAGAATGCAAAAATGACTGAACAAGGGCATTCAAAGTGGGAAATCACTGACAGGTAGATGCAGCGAGGACTAAGTCATGTGCTGGGCTTTATGCTGTCGCTCTTTGTTTCGCTTTTTAACTCTCATAGGAAGGATATGGGATGGATCGTTTTTGAGGGTGAACACGTCCCTCTGGGTATACTCTGAATTCAGAGCCAGGTTAGCAACTTCCGGGACTTTCTGATGTTTCAGACCAAAAGAGGCAAAACAATCATGTGAATGTTTAAAGAGCTTGGATGAGTCCTCAATCTAGAGAGCTCAATAGAAAAGTAATAAGCCTCCTAGGAGAATGCCTAGAGTTTTTCTGTATTTCAAACAAAAATTTTTTAACCCTCACCGAAGGACATGCTTAGAGAGAGGAAGGGGGAGGGAGGGAGAGAAAAACACTGACTGGCTGCCCTCCTGCCCTCCCTACGCTCCCTGGCATGTGCCCTGACTGGGAATTGGCCCAGCAACCTTCTGGAGCATGAGATGGTGCTCAACCAACTGAGCCACTCCAGCCGGGCAAGTTTTTCTGTATTTCCAGGTCAGGTCCAGATTCAAAGCATGACTTGAAAGTTTGGGTGCAAACAGGGACTCTCTAGGTCTGATTTCTTATTACAGAATGTCTACCTTTAGATCTTAGAGAGAAACTGGGTGACAAGAACCCAAAGAGTGGCTGTTCCTCTAACAGGACAAACAGACCTGTCTAAAGCTGAGCTGTATAACAGCACTGCAAGTTGCAGCTGACAATGAAGGTGATAAGGGAAAACGGCAAAATGAGCCAGTAGGGAGTAAAGGCCATACTGTATAGTATGAAAATAACAAAGCAGGAACTGCTGTTTGGGGGAAGCATAAAGGAGAAATACGTAATTTAAATATTAAACTGTGGACAGAACACAGGTTTAGTTCAAGATGGGAGGAGGGTCATTCTACACAAACATGGAAAAGGAAGCTGCAACCAAAGGCAAATGCCAGAGCTGATTCTTGTCAGAGACACTGGCAACCCTCCGCCCAGGAGAGGTTAATATTCTGCAGCCGGTGAAAGATCAGGTGAACTGCCTGATGTCTGACACTGGGCCTGACGAATGCTCCATGTGAGCTGTATGTATAATCTCAAAACCTCCCTTCTTGGTATGTGGGCATTTCAATCTGCAGAAACAATCACAGAAAAGAAATATGGGCCCAAAGGCAGTTTATATTATAAACTTGCCTTATGGTTTGCTTATGACACCTTGTTAAGATCCCTCTAAGAATTAACTCTCTAAGTGAGAGTTCTTATCATTTTCTGTCTGCAGGACTTGAGGGAGATAACATACTCCTATTAGGGAGCATGGCTACTGCTCCCTGGCAGCGATTCCCAACCATCACGCCATGTTCTGGCCAGAGCCCCAGTTAAGAATCACAGCTCTGAATTAATGTGTGACAGCTGGTACCAGACATCGGATTTGAAAACACATCCTTTTGCACACTTTACGTGCTTCTGTGAAGGAAGTCAGGAATGTGGGATACCTTGTCACCTTGGCCCAGGTTCTCCGATTTAACCTCATACAAAGTTTTCCAGTTGGTGTTGCTTCCAGCTAGTCCTCCACCCTTTAGATCCGAGATGGAAACACCATTTAAGGCTTGTCCTTCTGAGTCAAACCTGAGAAACAAACAGAGAATGACAGGCACTTTATGTACTTATTGACTATGCCACTCATTTCTTTATGCCAAATACAGGCTATCCACCCCCCACCCAACTTTCACAGGTCACAGTCCTGTGGGATGCAATTAGCATCTTCCTCATTGTATCTTTAGCCTACTGAAGAAACTGAATGACCTCTTTTTATCTCAATTGCTTTGATGCCCCCCAGTGGTCAAGACAGTGCCAAAGTACCACAGAACCTTTTCTTAAATTAGCCTTCCATATCAACACTGGCCAGAGGGCCCAAGGCCAAAGAAACAGTAACCTGCAAAGTCAGTAACAAAAAAGCAATAACGGAGAGCTCCAGTATAGCTCTCTGGGCTACTGATGCTCATTCTCCACCAGCGGCTGCATTTTTACCATCACTGAAATGTATCAGTATAGAAAGTGACAGCCAACATATTGTAACGGTAGCAAAAAAATGTTCCCATGGTGAAAAAGCTTTTAAGCCTGATACAGAGTCCAAAAGATTACATAACCCCAAGTAATTTATTAGAAGGTATTATGTTTTCTTGTAGATTTACCTTCTTAGTGAGATTTTTACTTATGCCAATATTGAAGTTAAAATTAAGTTGTATTAAGTTATTATTAAAATTGATTATACTTTTTTATTAAAACATATTTTTATTGATTTGAGAGGAAGGGAGAGGGAGAGAA